AACTGTTGCTGGAAGTGGCTGTGTAACTGTTGCTGGCAGTGCCTGTGTAACTGTTGCTGGAAGTGTCTGTGTAACTGTTGCTGGCAGTGCCTGTGTAACTGTTGCTGGCAGTGCCTGTGTAACTGTTTCTGGCAGTGCCTGTGTAACTGTTGCTGGAAGAGTCTGTGTAACTGTTGCTGGCAGTGCCTGTTTAACTGTTGCTGGAAGTGTCTGTGTAACTGTTGCTGGCAGTGCCTGTGTAACTGTTGCTGGAAGTGTCTGTGTAACTGTTGCTGGCAGTGCCTGTGTAACTGTTGCTGGAAGTGTCTGTGTAACTGTTGCTGGCAGTGCCTGTGTAACTGTTGCTGGCAGTGCCTGTGTAACTGTTTCTGGCAGTGCCTGTGTAACTGTTGCTGGAAGAGTCTGTGTAACTGTTGCTGGCAGTGCCTGTTTAACTGTTGCTGGAAGTGTCTGTGTAACTGTTGCTGGCAGTGCCTGTGTAACTGTTGCTGGAAGTGTCTGTGTAACTGTTGCTGGCAGTGCCTGTGTAACTGTTGCTGGAAGTGTCTGTGTAACTGTTGCTGGCAGTGCCTGTGTAACTGTTGCTGGAAGTGGCTGTGTAACTGTTGCTGGCAGTGCCTGTGTAACTGTTGCTGGAAGTGGCTGTGTAACTGTTGCTGGCAGTGCCTGTGTAACTGTTGCTGAAAGTGTCTGTGTAACTGTTGCTGGCAGTGCCTGTGTAACTGTTGCTGGAAGTGGCTGTGTAACTGTTGCTGGCAGTGCCTGTGTAACTGTTGCTGGAAGTGGCTGTGTAACTGTTGTTGTCAGTACCTGTGTAACTGTTGCTGGAAGTGGCTGTGTAACTGTTGCTGGCAGTGCCTGTGTAACTGTTGCTGGAAGTGTCTGTGTAACTGTTGCTGGCAGTGCCTGTGTAACTGTTGCTGGAAGTGGCTGTGTAACTGTTGCTGGCAGTGCCTGTGTAACTGTTGTTGGAAGAGTCTGTGTAACTGTTGCTGGCAGTGCCTGTGTAACTGTTGCTGGAAGTGTCTGTGTAACTGTTGCTGGCAGTGCCTGTGTAACTGTTGCTGGCAGTGCCTGTGTAACTGTTGCTGGAAGTGGCTGTGTAACTGTTGCTGGCAGTGCCTGTGTAACTGTTGCTGGCAGTGTCTGTGTAACTGTTGCTGGCAGTGCCTGTGTAACTGTTGCTGGAAGTGTCTGTGTAACTGTTGCTGGCAGTGCCTGTGTAACTGTTGCTGGAAGTGGCTGTGTAACTGTTGCTGGCAGTGCCTGTGTAACTGTTGCTGGAAGTGGCTGTGTAACTGTTGCTGGCAGTGCCTGTGTAACTGTTGCTGGCAGTGCCTGTGTAACTGTTGCTGGAAGTGTCTGTGTAACTGTTGCTGGCAGTGCCTGTGTAACTGTTGCTGGAAGTGTCTGTGTAACTGTTGCTGGCAGTGCCTGTGTAACTGTTGCTGGAAGTGGCTGTGTAACTGTTGCTGGCAGTGCCTGTGTAACTGTTGCTGGAAGTGGCTGTGTAACTGTTGCTGGCAGTGCCTGTGTAACTGTTGCTGGTAGTGCCTGTGTAACTGTTGCTGGAAGTGTCTGTGTAACTGTTGCTGGCAGTGCTTGTGTAATTGTTGCTGGCAGTGCCTGTGTAACTGTTGCTGGAAGTGTCTGTGTAACTGTTGCTGGCAGTGCCTGTGTAACTGTTGCTGGAAGTGCCTGTGTAACTGTTGCTGGCAGTGCCTATGTAACTGTTGCTGGCAGTGCCTGTGTAACTGTTGTTGGCAGTGCCTGTGTAACTGTTGCTGGAAGTGCCTGTGTAACTGTTGCTGGAAATGTCTGTGTAACTGTTGCTGGCAGTGCCTGTGTAACTGTTGCTGGCAGTGCCTGTGTAACTGTTGCTGGCAGTGCCTGTGTAACTGTTGCTGGAAGTGCCTGTGTAACTGTTGCTGGAAATGTCTGTGTAACTGTTGCTGGCAGTGCCTGTGTAACTGTTGCTGGCAGTGCCTGTGTAACTGTTGCTGGCAGTGCCTGTGTAACTGTTGCTGACAGTGCCTGTGTAACGGTTGCTGGCAGTGCCTGTGTAACTGTTGCTGACAGTGCCTGTGTAACGGTTGCTGGCAGTGCCTGTGTTCTTTAAGAATGCCGCTGTCATACTTTTGGTTCCCTGGTAGTCTTGAACGGCACCACTCTCTGCGCTTGTTGCTGGCTGGTCGTTGTGGTGCCACGCCACCTACGACTTGCTGCTTTTGGTTACATAAATTGTCGTTATCAGTGCCGCTGCTGCCTCCGCCTCCGCCTCCGCCGCTGTTGCTCCTGCTGTTGCTGCTGCTGCTGATGCTGCTACTGCTGCTGCTGCTGCTGCTGCTGCTGCTGCTGCTTCTGCTGCTGCTACTGCTGCTTCTGCTGCTGCTGCTGCTGATGCTGCTACTGCTGCTGCTGCTGCTGCTGCTGCTGCTGCTGCTACTGCTGCTGCTGTTGCTGCTGTTGCTGCTGCTGCTGCTGCTGCTGCTGCTACTGCTGCTGCTGCTGCTACTGCTGCTGCTGCTGCTACTGCTTTGCTGCTGCTGCTGCCTGCTGCTGCTGCTGCTGCCTGCTGCTGCTACTGGCTGCTGCTGGCTTGCTGCTGCTGCTGCTGCTGCTGCTGCTGCTGCTGCTGCTGCTACTGCTGCTGCTACTGCTACTGCTACTGCTGCTGCTGCTGCTGCTGCTGCTGCTGCTGCTGCTGCTGCTGCTACTGCTGCTGCTGCTGCTGCTGCTACGCTGCTGCTGCTACTGCGCTTGCTGCTGCTGCTGCTGCTGCTGCTGCTGCTGCTGCTGCTGCTGCTGCTGCTGCTGCTGCTGCTGCTACTGCTGCTGCTGCTGCTGCTGCTGCTGCTGCTGCTGCTGCTGCTGCTACTGCTGCTGCTGCTGCTACTGCTGCTGCTACTGCTGCTGCTGCTGCTGCTGCTGCTGCTGCTGCTGCTGCTGTCTGTACTGCTGTGCTGCTAGCGCTGCTCTGCTGCTGTACTCTGCTGCTACTGCGAGCTACTGTACTGTGTATACTGAGCTGCTGCTGCTTGCTGTGCTGTGCTGCTGGGGGGTCAAACAGCAAGCAGTGTTCAACAAAGGGTTTAATGTGTAAGGTAGAATCTCATTGCACTTTGTATTAAATACTTGGATTATAATGACGAAAAAAGTACACTACGATAATAGGATAATAGTGCACTATAATAAATTATTATAGAAAACTAATAAATGATAAGAGTACACTAATAAATAATTAGAGTGTACTTGGTAATGAGTTACATTACACACTCATCACGTAAGTGAAGGTAGTAACTCTGAGAGTGTTCTTGACGAAGGCACTCAGTAGAGTGCTTGAGCCCCAGCCAAGGATACAAGAATGTGCTACATGTTAAGTGAAGCGCACCACGACTGTTCCTTCAGATCAGATCTTGATAGATAGAGATTGGATGTCGTTTGTTTCCTCACCGTTCATGCGTTGCTGCAGCTCAACAGCTGCAGCAACCCGGTCAACTTCCTGTTCGCAAGAAAACAACAGTGAAAGATTGAAGAATCTCTATTTTTTTTATTCTCTCTTTTACAGAATAAGAGATGTTTTTTCCTAGTTCAGCTCATCTCAAAATCTTGCATTATCTACTATGGACGCGACCCACAACTTTCAACACCTAGGTGTTGAAGGCAGATGTAAGTAGACTTGCACATGTGTGTTGTTCTCGGTCTTAGGAATAAGAGATGTTAAGATAGGTACATAATCAGTAGTGACTCACTCATGCATTGGTTTTCACGTCTAGAATAAATGCTTATAGGCAAACTAGGAATACTGAATGTGATAATAACCCGAACAAGCATTAAACATGGATAATGAGATAGAGGCTAGTATAGAACAAAAGAGTAGAACCAATGTTGTAAGCCAGAGCAGACACACACACACACACACACACACACACACACACACACACACACACACACACACACACACACACACACACACACACACACATATATATATATATATATATATATATATATATATATATATATATATATATATATATATACACACACAGACCAGATAGGGACACCAGCAAGGAATATACCAACAAGTGTTGGACGACATACATACAGATGAGGAGGAGGTTAAGAAACTGCTAAGGGACATCGATACCTCAAAGGCAATGGGACCGGACAACATCGCCCCTTGGGTCCTTAGAGAGGGAGCAGATATGTTGTGTGTGCCATTTACCACAATCTTCAACACGTCCCTGGAAACTGGGCAACTACCTAAGGTATAGAAGACGGCAAATGTAGTTCCCATTTTTAAAAAAGGAAACAGAAAAGAGGCACTAAACTATAGACCTGTGTCACTGACGTGTATAGTATGCAAAGTTATGGAGAAGATTATCAGGAGGAGAGTGGTGGAGCACCTGGAACGGAACAAGAGTATAAACGCCAACCAGCATGGATTCATGGAAGGAAAATCCTGTGTCACAAACCTTCTGGAGTTTTATGATAAAGTAACAGAAGTAAGACACGAGAGAGAGGGGTGGGTTGATTGCATCTTCTTGGACTGCAAGAAAACCTTTGACACAGTTCCTCACAAGAGATTAGTGCAGAAGCTAGAGGATCAGGCTTATATAACAGGAAGGGCACTGCAATGGATCAGAGAATACCTGACAGGGAAGCAACAACGAGTCATGGTACGTAATGATGTATCACAATGGGCACCTGTGACGAGCGGGGTCCCACAGGGGTCGGTCCTAGGACCAGTGCTATTTTTGGTGTATGTGAACGACATGGTGGAAGGGTTAGACTCAGAAGTGTCCCTGTTCGCAGACGATGTGAAGTTAATGAGGAGAATTAAATCAGATGAGGACTGGGCAGGACTTCAAAGAGACCTGGACAGACTGGACACCTGGTCCAGCAACTGGCTTCTCGAATTTAATCCTGCCAAATGCAAAGTCATGAAGATAGGGGAAGGACAAAGAAGACCGCAGACAGAGTATAGGCTAGGTGGCCAAAGACTGCAAACCTCGCTCAGGGAGAAAGATCTAGGAGTGAGTATAACACCGAGCATGTCTCCGGAAGCACACATCAACCAGGTAACTGCTACAGCATATGGGCGCCTGGCAAACCTGAGAACAGCGTTCCGATACCTTAATAAGGAATCGTTCAAGACACTGTACACCGTGTACGTCAGGCCCATACTGGAGTATGCAGCACCTGTTTGGAACTCGCACTTGATAAAGCACGTCAAGAAACTAGAGAAAGTGCAAAGGTTTGCGACAAGGTTAGTTCCAGAGCTAAGGGGAATGTCTTAGGGTCAGGGGAGACATGATAACGACATATAAAATACTGCGCGGAATAGACAAGGTGGACAAAGACAGGATGTTCCAGGGAGGGGACACAGAAACAAGAGGTCACAATTGGAAGTTGAAGACACAGATGAGTCAGAGAGATATTAGGAAGTATTTCTTCAGTCATAGAGTTGTCAGGCAGTGGAATAGCCTAGAAAGTGATGTAGTGGAGGCAGGAACCATACATAGTTTTAAGACGAGGTATGATAAAGCTCATGGAGAGGGAAAAGATTGGACCCAGTAGCAACCGGTGAAGAGGCGGGGCCAGAAGCTAGGACTCGACCCCTGCAACCACAAATAGGTGAGTATAAATAGGTGAGTATAAATAGGTGAGTACTGTAATCCCAGATGTAGACGTGGCGGATTGGCCTCATACTGTGGAACTGGTGGTCACGGCCGATGGGCCTGGTATTGTGGAACAGGTGGTCAAGGCCGATGGGCCTGATGCTGTGGAAGTGGTGGTTACGGCCGATGGGCCTGGTACTGTGGAACTGGTGGTCACGGCCGATGGGCCTGGTACTTTGGAAGTGGTGGTCACGGCCGATGGGCCTGATACTGTAGAACTGTGTTCATGGCCCACACCTCTAAGCTGACATAAGACGAAGCTATAATTTCTGGACTCCTGTTAAAACATCGCTTCCCATTACCAGAACTAAAGTATATGAATTACATGTCAACAAACAGTACTCAATATCACACATCAAAATGTTTACATGCCCAAACACCGCGTTGCCAGACATCTCACAGTCATATTTCTTTATTTTCTGTTTTTTTTTTTTTTTGCGTAGTATATGTTACTTATCCTAACTTAACCTAACGTAAAATAAATATAAAATATTTTTTTTATAACTTCGGGTAACGTTTAAAAGTTAAGGCTGGGAATGACGTAAGGAAACGAACAGCGTAAAATAAGATGACACAGTGACAAAGAGTTGGCACAGTGGCACTGGCTGGTGACGTAGTTTGAAGCTACTTTCTTCTTGAAAAACTATTAGGCAAAAAAAAAATCCTGTTAGTAATAGCAAATTCATGCTGTAAGGAAGAGGACACTGTGAGTGTGAGTGTTGTAAACGTCAACTATGAGAGAGGACACTGTAAGAGTGCTGTAAACGTCAACTATGAGAGAGGACACTGTAAGAGAGTGTTGTAAACGTCAACTGTGAGAGAAGACACTGTAAGAGAGTGTTGTAAAAGTCAACTATGAGAGAGGACACTGTAAGAGAGTGCTGTAAACGTCAACTGTGAGAGAGGACAATGTAAGTGTGAATGTTGTAAATATGAATAACGAGAGAGAGAGAGTCACTGAAAGTTTAATTTCTCTTAAGTTGGTCTATATGAAAGAACATATTCGACTGCTCTAAATTTTTATCAAAAGAAACATTTGACTGTTGTAACCAAGAGAGACGATCCACTAAGTTGCACTTCCTTCACGCAACATGAGACAACATACAGTTGCACCACGAGGCTATACAAAGACTCTTGCAAATTGTCAACAACGAGAAGAACCTGGCAAATTTGCCTGCTGGAAGCTTGCAATATCAGAGAAAAAACACATGTTGCGTGTTAGTGGTTAGACTCACCCGAACTTTGTGTCGAGGACCATCTTGGTGCGGGAGTCTCTGACACAGCCACACTTCAGCTCGCTAGATGTGCTCACGCGCCTGGCTATAATTACCACAGTGTAACACGCCACTGCCACCTCCTACACACACTCTCACTGCGATACACAACACAATCAACGTAGGCCTGGGAAGGAAATACGATATTACAGATTTTTCATTCTTGGATCTGATCACTTTGAATTACTATCATCCAGTGTCTTGAATTCACTGGCTTCTTGATTTTACTTCGCAACTGGTTGTGTGGCGTATACTATCTGTGTGTGTTGTATGACCAGGACAAAGAGGCACTTCAGAGTGTGTTGAAGTGTGGCACTCTTGAGCTGAGTGGGCGGTGGTGGGCCGCCTTTGATTCGGAGCGGCGGTAGGCGGCCCTTGAAAGTTTGAGAGACGATGGGCGGCTTCTGACTATTTAGGGGCGAAGGTGGGTGGCTCCTGAGCGTTAAGGGTGGTGGTGGGCGGGCAGAGAGGCGACGTAGGTGAGGACCACTACGCTGCTGGAGCCTTGGTGCTACTGTGTCCCCGAGTCTTGCGATACTGGTGGTAATTTTAACTGGCGAGGCTCCGTGTGTGTGTGTGTGTGTGTGTGTGTGTGTGTGTGTGTGTGTGTGTGTGTGTGTGTGTGTGTGTGTGTGTGTGTGTGTGTGTGTGTGAGTGAGTGAGTGTGTGATTTTGTGCATTTTCTTACTTATGTTTGCTCCAGTCAATTCATAGCTCCTGGACCTGACCCATACTTCTTTTCGACCGTTTTTTCTTATTTCTGGCATCAAGGCCAGATCTTGTCTACTCTTGAAATTGTGTACGGTTTCTGACTCCTGTGTCTGACTCTCTGTGTCGACCACCTGTACTCCTTAGTTCCCTCTTCTTGTGTATCAAACAGCTCTATGTAAACCTCTTAGTATTGTGTATGTCATGACCATGTTCCCTTGGCCCCTCTTTTTTACAGTGTTATTCTGAATTACTTAAGTATCTCCTCATAGTCCATTCCCTCCTGGTTCCAGCACTATTCTTACTGAAAGTCTTTGGATCATCTATTTTTATTATATGCTAAACAGATGGTTCTAAAAGTACTCCAAGATGGGGCTAGCGTACGTTGTTTATAATGTCATAAATGTATGAAAAATACAAAAAACACAATACCATTACTGGAACACCCAAACTTTACCAGGTTCCTGGAATAATTGTGCAGAGTAGAACACAAAATATCTGTTAGATATGAACAGGTAAATTTAGAGATCTTTCAACGCAAAAAAAAAAAAATATGAGAAGCACGCCAGTAACTGGAATGGGACAACTCACCCGTGTTGTCGTACAGTGCCTGGGAATGAAAGGCACTCAGATTTAATCCAAGAGAGGGGGTGGGGAGGGGGGAGGGGAGGGGGGGGAAAGAGGGGGGGGGAGACAGATATACTCAAAGTCCAAATATGTGAGAAAGTGATCATTAACTTGTCCAAGTTCTAAAGATGCATCTCGTCATATCTGGGGACCAATTGCGACGATGAACGCCTTTTCTCGAAGATAAAACTAATGGAAAACTCTCCGTGATCAAGCATGGGTCAACAAGACCTCTCTTCCACTCCTCTCTCTCCTCTCTCTCTCTCTCTCTTATTTTTTATACACATGGTCTAACAAGGTTAGGTTAAGGATCCCTAACTTTATTGACAAGCTATTGACAAGTTAAGGATTCCTAATTTTATTGACAAGTTAAGAGCTGTTACCTACATCAGCTCATTTGAAAACATTTTTATTGTTATGAAACATACTAGTAGGGAACAGTATGAAGTTGGAGCCATCTGCGGGCCAGCATTTTCATTTGATCAATTGACTTTATCTCGTTGACATCATAATGCTGTACAAATGTGTTCCACACTCGAATCATCCCGGGGATAAATGATCTCAGACGAAGTGATGTTCTGGAGAAGGGTACAGCCAGAGTGAAGTTGCTGCTTACTGCCCGTCTTGTGGCATAGAAGCTTGCTTCTCGCTGTCCCAGACAATATATTTCATAAATACACACCGTTAAAGATATTTAACTGTTACCATGGACACAACGTCTACCAGAGACAAAAACTGATTCCAGAAACACAGAGATGATTTCAAAATTATTTAGCTGGTCTTATAGTCGAATGAATTGAGAGCGCACCTGGTCGCTGCCACAGAAATATGAGTGTGTTCAGACACTGTTGGCCGCTGTTGCTGAGTTGAGACACCGTGTGGGAATGTAATGTTGAGTTGGCACTCTCTTGGCTCTCAATAAATAGATATTCCTTAAACTGGTATTGATAGTGCGTGTGTGTGTGTGTGTGTGTGTGTGTGTGTGTGACGGAGATCAGTTCCTGGATCCGCCACCTAGACAGGAGCGGAACCAGGTTTTTATTATTGGGGGGTTTGGGGGTCTAGCTGGCTGGATGGGGGCTAGGGGGGCTAGGGGGGCTAAGGGGGCTAGGGGCTAGGGGGCTAGGGGGGCTAGGGGGCTAGGGGGGCTAGCTGACTTCATGGGGGCTAGGGGGGATGGGGACTAGGGTGTCTAGCTGGCTTGATGGGGGCTAGGGGGCTTGGGGGTCTAGCTGGCTGGATGGGGGCTAGGGGGACTAGTTGGTTCAATGGGAGGTCTAGGAGAACACTTGTGTTAGATCAATTATAAAAATGTTTTCTCAAGATCCTTTTATTCTCACTTTATAAGAGTGAAAAACAAACCTCAACATTAAAGCATATGAACAATACTTTCAGGAAATAACATCAATATATAACTTGTCACCAAAAGATAATAATAACAATATAATCAAATTAAGCGCTAAACTCGAAAGAGTTGATATACGGGAAGACCATAATAGATTTATTCTACTCTCAAATTAGAGGCTCAGGGTAACTAAAACGTTATAGCAAAGTTATTCTTCTGTTGTTATAGTTAGAAGCAAAAGTATCAATGATAATAGCCACATTCAGACTTTCAGTCTTTTTTTGAATTCATAGATATAAAAAGCAATACCACTTGTTCTGTTGTCACTACTAGTTTTCTTCAAGTTACTGTCAGTTGCAGGCAGGATAAACTACGCTCACTAGCTGCAGAATTAACCATCAAAGTCACACTGATGCTCACCGGTTTATACAGATCTATGGAAGCATCACGGTGTGGTCTGAACACAGCAGTAAGTTCAAGTGAAATTAAAAAAAGTGGTTATTAAAATATCCATTAATTTTTAAAGAGGTGGACCGTTAAGCCAGCGGAAGGCCTCGGTTATATGACCAAGAGTTCCAGCTGTGGGTCATCGTCTGACTAAGACCCGCGTCAGGAAACACTTGTCCTGTTTCCTGAGGAACCTTACCTAACCTGACCTCAAATGGAGTTGTGACAGAATGAACAAGTTGTTGTTTTGTCTTACAAGAAGACGTCGCATTTAATGAACCTCTACACCCAAAGTTTCCCCTTTTATACCATAACTTTTTGACATCTCCAGAATATAAGATTTCTGAAGAAATAAAACAATCTGGAGGATTCAGTGCTGATGAACCATTCAGTATGATACACGAATTGTTCGAAATTTATCTTTTTAATTCGCTGACTAATATGCGTTTAACAGGAAAGAAAACATTGTGCAGAATTCATGAGAAACAGTCATTTTCTGACGTTAGCCAAGTTGAAAATCAACAACAAGCTCCTCCTGTATATGTGACTGAGAGTGTTGTCGTACTTTTTCTTGTTGCACGTCAGTGCCAGCCGCTTCACACAAATGAACTGCATCTTGCCAGATACCCTGTCATGAATTTTCACAGCGTTCTTCCTGAAGCTCACACAGGACTGACTTAACAAGATCAACAGCAGAAGCAGGAGACCGAAGGTGGTCAGACAGTGACTTACTGATATGCAGTAAAGTCTTCACTGAAGACTCCATGAGCTGAACTCGTTTCCAGGCTGAGGGACGGGCCACCTCAAACTATTTTTGTGAGGTTAATGGACTGATTACATCATCTTTACCTCGTCACTTCTGCTGCCTACAATCCATTCTCTGCATTTGATTGACTGAAGAAGCATACAGCGTAGGCGAAACATTTCAACAATAAATATGCGCAATGTTGCACGTGTCTTACTCATCAGCTTTTATACCATTTTCATTTTCAGCTATCTACTGTGCTTTCCGTCTCCTGGAATGCGTGGAGGATCTCACCATGTCCAGACATATTCTGGAAGGCACACGCAATACGTGCTTCTGTTGCACAACCAGCTTGATGAGTGACACTGGTGTATTCAGTATAACATCCTCTGTTTGGTGAGGTGGGTGGTGTAATGGGTGGTGTGATGGGTAGTATGATGGGTGGTGTGGAGTGGCACTGTGGCCCTGACACCTTGAATCTGCCTCCCTGTCTATTAATACCACTGGCACTCACAGGAAAGGAAGAAGCAAGTGAACAGGGCCAGAGTGCAAGTGAAGTATGGGAGGGAGGGAGAGAGAGAGAGAGAGAGAGAGAGAGAGAGAGAGAGAGAGAGAGAGAGAGAGAGAGAGAGAAAGAGAGAGAGAGAGAGAGAGAGAGACTCGCCAGCAGTAAAGCCCAGCAAGAAATCAGTTGCCGAATAAGCAGGGAAACACAAGAAATACAAGAAATAGGAGACTACCCTCCTAGGCACCTCGGCAGTGCTCCCGCTGTTACTGAAGGAGGCACACCACTGATAACTGTCTACAAGATATCTGGTGAAATTATTGCCACAAGAAGGAACATCGGAAATACTGCTGTCGAAACAAAAAGATACATGACAGAATCATAGGTTCTTTAGACATTTATTCTCAGAACAAACCAGCAGAAACTCAGATCTAGTGAGCACCCATACACGTTATCCATCCGGCTAATCCTATCTCAGCCCAGCAAGTGGTTTCCGGCCACAAAGCTACGTCCCAGTGGCTGCCCCAGTGTCCTACTTGACTCAAGGGCAAACACCTTACACACCTACATAGCCAAGCTGAACGTAAACATGAGGAGCCCGTCTATCGGTATCCTGTCTGTCAACATTAGTCTTCATTACCAATATTGGCGAGCTCACACATTTTCGTGAATACCCATCATCCTGACATGATCGCCATTGCTGAGACATTCTTGGACAACAGAATTCCTGAAAATTTTCCTAGTAAGGCTGGCTACTCTTCATGGATGCGACGAGACAGGCAACGACAACTAGGAGGCGTTGTTGTGTGCTTTTCTACAAGTGTTCATGCCCAGCTTATTGATGTTGCCTTTCCTAATCACCTGGAAATGATGTTCTTCAGGCTATGCACAAACCCTAGCCTAGCACCTTCACACCAGCATGTGCAATGTACAGACTTCAACGACAACGCACATAGGAGAAAGCTTATAACAACGTGCAATGTACAGACTTCAACGACAACGAGCAAACCCGATCAACTTCCTAATGGAAAACGTGGAAACACTTCTGTTCAAGCATAATTTAATTGTTGGTGACCTCAACCAGGATCTTATACAAAGGGATTTCGATGAACTTCTTCAGGCAAAATATGTTGATTTAGCTCAATTTCCTTAACTTACAACTGTA